TTATGACTGCTTCTACATTCCTGTTTTGTTAGACTGAAAAATGTCAAGCACAAAACTTTGCCAGCCCTGATACAAAGGATTGCTCTGAGTACGTACAGTTTCATACTTGAAACTGGCGTAAATCCTAGCCTTGGCATGACTGCAAGAGCACAATAGAATTTGCTTTTGCTACCCTGGTGGAGAATATTTATTAGGAAATAGGCATTGTTTGGCGATAGAAAAGGCTGCTCTATTTTTAAATGAAAAGGAATGAAAGGAGCATCTGTCACCATGTACGTGCCTAGCCCAGTGGAGACAAGTTTCCGTCTAAGAAAGACGGTAGCTCTGCAGTGACCAGTACTGGACTCAGTCATTCCCAGCAGGTTCGTGCTGAGCAGCTGCTAAGGTCGGACCTGTTTGGTAGGACACCCATCACTCACCGCTTGCTGGATGGATGGCTGGGGCCCTCTGTGGACTGCAGGGCTGTGGGTCTGGGCCCCAAAGTCCTACCACTGCTGCTAAGGTTGACCATGTTGACCCTCCCTGTTGAGTGGGGAAAAGGGAGAACGCGAGAGCTTTCTCAGCGGCGGGTCCCCAGCTTTGAAGTGCTTCCTCAAGGGAAATTGGTCTAGTGGCCACCCTGCTAACCTTTTGGCACTGGGGAAGATTTCCCTGCTCTCCCAGGCCTTTTAAATTTTTCAGATCTTTGAAAACATGTTAGTGTATTTATAGAGTTTTTTTTCCTTCTATACCAGATATGCTTGGGATGTTGACACATTTATTCATTTTCTATTTTTGATTTCATTTGCAGCCTTATTATTTTCCTTGTAAAATGTCTGGATGCATTTATTCCTGAGGCACCAGATAAATTGCATGAAATGTTTTTAACCACATATTCTGATGGTCTCCTCCACTGCTGTCTGCTGCAGAGGGGAATGAAAGAGGCTTCTTGGAGTGGGAAAACTTCTGGATAGCAGGATGGGCACTGGTGCCCTTTGATCCCATTGACTCAGAAGAGGCTAGCCAGAAGGGCTACAGATGGGTGCTCTGTGGAGGCGTAGGCTGGGTTGGGCTCAGAAGCAACGCCCTGGCTGGACCAGCAATTGCCTTCCCACCTCTAAGCTATTCTTGTCTGCGTTGTAGTGGAGGGCAGTATTTATTCTGTGTTACACAAGAAAAAACAAACTGGCTGGTCAAAATTCTGCTGCAGGAAAATCTGGATTTGTGTATTTTTGTTCATGTACGGCCCACCTTTCTTCCGTCATGGAATTCAAGGCAGCACACATAAGGTCTCCGTCCAGGCACTGATCAGAGACAAACAGTTGTAGCTTTGGGAGGGGTCCGGAATTGTGCCTTCTGACATTAGTGCGTGATGTGCAAACATGATGTATTTTAACTGCCTCTACCAGAAATTTAATGTTGCATCTCGTGATGGGGGAGGGGCAAAGTGAAATGATGCCCTTCCCTTTATTCCTGAAGTTTTTACTTAGAAACAATCCCCCCCTCACCAACTTCTGAGATCTCACCAACCATTACCACACATGGTCAAGACACTTCCTACCTTCATGGCTGTAAGGACCAGAAACTGGCCTCTTAGGTGAAGAAGAAAAGCTAAATTTTCTGGGCAGTTCTGACATTCAAGTGTCATCCTGGCCTTATATGAAGTCTGGTCATGCACACAAACCCATGCTGCTCGGATTGTTTGTCATGCTGTTATTTGTTTCCTTTCTTTTTTTCATCTCACCAAGTTGGCCCACGGAAAGATATCTACTTCACTTACTTCATGTTTCCTACCCACAGCAAGGTGCCAAGATGGTGGCTGGATGGGTAGACATGGGAAGCATGTGATGATCTGGCTGGATCAAGCCAACAACTTGTCTAGCTCCCTGTTTTCCGCGGTGTGCCTGGAAAACTCAGAAGCGGAAAGGTAGCAGGGCTTCTTCGCCTATTTTCCCTCACAACAGGCATTTAGGGGAATGCTGCCGAACGAGCCAGGAAATGCAGCTGTTTGTTTTTCCTGTGCTTTGTGCTAGTTTTAGAGTTGAAAGTTTGGAAGAGTCCACCCCATTCCCTGCTCGTCTATACTTCTCCCTAATTTTCCAAGCATCTGTCTTCAGGATCTCTTCCATCTTGTCCCACAATGCAAGTCCTAAACCACGGAGGGTGTGGCCAGCAGCCACGTGCCTTTGGGCCCGCTGGGGCAACCACCCCTTGAACAGGGACACGCTCTTCTTTTTTGGTCACATGATCTCACATGAGGTGGGAAAAATTAAAGCTGAAATGGTCCAGTGTCAGAACATCCGATCCCGCCAGGCCAGCCAGAGCGGCTGTGTCCAAATGGAAACTGGCAAAGACCTCGTGCCGTCTACCCCATAGCTGAAATTTGCATAGGGAGGATGGAACAGACCTAGCAATGGCTTTAGCTCTTACAGCTCACCCCTTTTTTAGCATTGTGAAATCAGCCCGAGTTTCTTTCCCCTCCCGCTAATGACTCTGAGGGGACTTCACTGCGCTCGGCTAGGCTGAGTGGTGCTAAGCTACCTTGACTGTGGCACTTGCTGTTTCCTCTTCCACTCTCCTTTTGAAAGCTTTCTCATGTCATGGCGGTCCTGATCTTGCCATGCATTGTGAAATCCTGCCCCTTCCTCCCAGAAACCATGCCTAGACTTGGGAGTCTCAGCTGACCACCCACGAGAGCTCCCCCTACCCCGAATGCCTCTAGAGATGTTGAAATGCAATTCCCATCTTCCCCCACAAACATGCTACTTGGCCAGGCATCATAATTGCCGTCCCGGTGAGGTCATTGCCATTCTGCCACCCCCCCGATGTGTCCTTTGCCTCCGCTGTGGTCTCTCCCACACTCCCCTCTCTTTCCATGGGGTTTCTGCATTGCCAAAGTGATGTGGGATGCACCAGCCATGCTGTTTTCACATTGTAAAAATCGGCCCCTCACTGCGAGATCTCCTCCACTGTCAAAATCCCAGGGAGGTGCCATCTGGGTTTTTTTGGAAAGCTCTACAACTGAGATCCCCCGACCGTCCTCAACAGCTTGCTTTTGCTGATGGCTTTTCCTACTTCTGTTCTCAGTGGAGAGGGTAAGAATTGTACTCTCTCCTTTCCCGTGGGCACCACCACCACTGCCACTCCTACGAATGCTCCCGTCCATGGACCAGGGCCTCCAGAACTGCCTCTTCACCTGGACCTTTGGGGTTTCTGGCTATGAACTGGGATTCCCACTTGCCCACCAGCACCACACCTTCTCTCTTGCAACATGGAAATGCTGGAGAGTGTTGAGCTTGTTCTAGCACAGCCTTTCCCAGCCTGACTGCCCTGGATGTGTTGGAGTGCAGCTCCCCAGGCAGTATGGCTCGTGGGTTCAGGAAGGCTGTATAGCACACACACTCCATTCCAGCGGGTGAAGCTGAAGCCTGGGGTCCCTTGCCTGTGTGAAATGAATGTGTCTGTGTACTCCGGAATCTGATCGGATGGGCAGGGGGTTCATTGGAAAGGTGAGAATGGAATGCTCCCTGACAGTTCGGGGTGTAAAACTCACTGCTCTAAGCTCAACATTTCTAGCAGCTCCTTTAGGCTCTTTTCAGCCCACTCATCTTGTAGAACAGGTAGGGTTGAATGTACTCCAGATATTTGGGACTTCAATGCCCCAAAGCCCCTCTCCACATCGTCTATGGTCAGGAATAGTGGAAACTGAAGTCCAAAACATCTGGCATTCTACCTTCTGTCCATCCATCCTGCTTTAGAAGACCGTGGTAGCTTTCCACCAAATCCCTGTCCTACTTCCAGACATCTTCCTTCTTGAATGGTGAAGCCCAAAGAGGAACATGTCAATCCAACATATTGAGCAGGGTGGAAAGAGTCTTCCCCAGCCCTGAGGATGATGCTCCTTGGATGCAATGCAAGGTGATGAGCCACTGACCATGGGAAACGTCCCTCGAACACTAGGCTCTGCGGAACGACACTCTCTGGGGCTCTTTCCACAGCAGCATGGTCTCCAGGACAGGGAAATCTGCGTTTGCGCTGCTCCATCCCAAAGCCACCTGGAACAACCCACCCAAAAGCCAACGGAGCGAAGTTACTAGGATGGTGGCCGACAGATTTTGGCAGCATTTGGAGGCTGCAGCAACAGCCTTCCAGACCTGTCCTGGAGCCGCATGTGTGCGCGCATGCATGTGCGCGCACATGTGTGTGTGTTTATGCAAGGGGCAGACCTTTCTATTTTTGTGCATGTGGGGTGTGGGGCATGGGGACTGCTGACATGGGATGGGGTGGTGGGGGGGGGTCTCCTGAGGAGACGAGAAGCCTCTCGCCATCAGAAACACAGCTGTGGTCTCAGGCAATTTCTGCCCTTTCAGCTATATTTATAGAAGTATATACATACATATATATATATATATATATTTATATATAAATATTAGTGGGCCTAGATCCCATGGAGGCAGAGTGACGGGGTTGTCAATGGGAGCCCCGAGCCTGCAGGACGGTGAGAAAGCTCGTGTGAAAGGGGGCAGACCAGTGGGGCACAGGCTAGCTCCAAGCAGAGCAGGGGACAAAGGGGATACAGCAGACAGAGGAATAGAAGGGGGACAGGTCTGGCTCAGCTTTCCCCGGCCTGGTGCCCTCCAGAGTCATCGGACTACAATTCCCCGCATGCCTCGATGGCTGGGGACGAGGGAGGAGGTGGTCCAACACTTGTGGAAGGCACCTGGCTTGGGAAGGCTCGTTCGGGGGGACAGGAGGAGAGCAACTGGTGGTGGTTGTTCACCACCAAGTCCTGCTGCAGAGATGGGTCAATGAGCCAGAAGCCCCGTTTGCGCATCTGCCTGGCGTGAGGTCCGCAGAGGGCAGGAGTTTCCTTTCCTTTCCTTTCCTTAAAAAAGTGGTTTCAAAGACTGTGGCTGGGCATCGAGTTGCCCTCCCTGGAGAGACGGTGGGGCAGAGCCTCGCGGTCACAGTGTGCTGTGTGTTCTGCACAGACAGGATGGTTAGAAAAGCTGGCCCCAGCCTCACAGTCTGGTCTGGGCCTCGGGGATGTAGATCTCAATGCTATCTGCGCTCTCGGTGGCGGAGCTCTGGCGGAAAGAGGCCGCCCGCTTGGCAGCCAGGAGCCTCTTGCGGGCCTCCTGCCGCTGCCGGTCCACAGAGTCCAAGGACCGGTCCTTCACCGGGTGCAGCCGGGAGCGCGACGGCTTCTTTGGTATCGGTGGAGGCACCTTCTTTTCCTCCTGCCAGGAAGACAGAGGGAGGGTGTTAGTGCCAGAGACCCCCTTGACCGAGAAAGAAGCGGGTTTGCTGGGGGAAGCCAGAGCATGGCCCTTCTCCTTGCCCGGGTATCTTCACAGCAACCCTGAGAGGTAGGCGAGGTGGAGAGTCTGTGACTGGCCCAAAGGGACCCAAGGGGTCTCGTGGCTGAGTAGGGACTAGAACCCAGGCCGCCTGAGTCTCAGTCTGACCCTCTGTGCCACACTGACTCTCCTCAATTGGAAAGATAGTCTTGATGTGTGCTTTATTAAAAACCTGTAAGAATAACAGCAATTATTTCATTTATATCCTAGCATAACCACAGGGTATGTTAAAACAGTGAACACAAGACGGGTTGCACAGAGCAATAACCTGTGGTCTATTTCATGCTAGGTTGGTCACGCTGCCCAAGATAACAGAACAAATGCATGTTGTTTACTCAGTCCACGAACTCTCCCTCATCCTTCACTCACACTCTCCTTGTTTATCAAACACCCCTTCAACGCTGCAGCACTGTCACGTAGAATTGTTTTTCTTTTTCTTTTAATCCACTCTTGCCTGCAGTCCCTGCAGTCTGCTAAGACACGCCACGAACAACACACAACTCTGGTTTCACACATAATGACAACCTATGGAGTTTATGACCCAAAAAGCCGTTGGTTTTCTTTCTGGCTTGTTCACAGTTTACAAACCAGTATCTGTTAGTGGGGTTGTGTTCCCACATCAAAACAACCTAGAATCCAACAGCCCATGTTGTAGGCTAGCAAGACGAGCGACCCGGGCCTGGTGCAAGCTCCTTGTTGCACGCACGCTCCTGCGGTCCAGTGCCTGCTTGCACATGATGGTTGGGCATGTCGTCTCCACTGACGTTCCCATACTGAAAGCACAGGGGGACTTTGATCGCATTTTCAAAGGGCCAGTTCTCATTCTTGGTGCTGAGCGGTACAGTACTGTCCTGAGGGTTACTGCATGAATGAAAAGGAAGGCTTAGGGAGAAGCTTCCAGTTTGGGTTCAACATTCATGCACTCTTGACATAGTCAGAGGCTAGTGTTCAGCTTGCTAAGTTGCACTGTCTTTTAGCTATGAAGTGACAATAAAGATCTGCATTGCAAAGCCTGCCTGATGTTTTGGAAGCCTAAAGGCAAGAAGGGAAAGGTCGGCTGGGACACAGGGAGGCAGGAGAGACTGTTGTGGGAGGAATGGAGGAAGGAATATTCCTTAGTGACATCTATTGCTGCTCATACACAGTTTGATTGGTGGATAAGCTAATCATGCTTACTGGAGGCACAAACCCCTTTCTTTAGTTGGTTTAGATTTTTTGCTTGCAATCCTCCCACCCAACTTTTCTTTTGGTTTGCTGTGATCATCTCATTATTATAAAGTATATAAAACAACAAAACACAGGAGAGAATCTTAAAACACACTGCTCCATTGCTAACTTTACCTTATCGTAATTATCATTATGCTATTTATACTGCTTTGAGTGATGGGGAGAATGTAGAAGAAGGGGGAAGGCAACATTTTGGCTGGGGAATTGTTACTGTATATTTACAAAGCGACTTTTATGTCCGGTCAAATCTTAAAATATGTAAAAGATGAAGAGCTTAATAAAAGCACACACCATGGTGAGTTTTTTAATTTTGCAGTTCTTTTTCAAGAATTGCTGAGGTCAAGCCTTTGAATATTGCTGCAAATTTATCTCCTTCCCACCCCCTGATGACAGAGGGGCCTTGCACATGATGCAGCAGGGAAGTGCAGGACTGGACCTCGGACTCCGGCTGAGCCGTGGGGTCATGGCTGCCATCAGTTCATCCAGGCCACATGGGAATTAAGTACCTTCCAGGAGGAGGCTGCGGTGGAAGGGTGCAATGAGGCACTGTGTGGGAATTCAGATTCCAGGTAAAGCCAACTTCCACTTTTAAGCAGGGCAACTGTCTAGTTCTTATGGCTGCTAATATGTCCCTGAAGGCGCCAGTCCTGCTGAATATTTTGGAAGAGTGCCTGAATAAAATTTCTTGTGCTTGAGGTCTCCCTGCATAACCCCTCCCCTCCCGACAAAATAGGAATAAAGTCAGCCATCACCAAGCATTGCAGAATAAATCAGACGACATGCCACTCAGATTTGCAGAATGCATTACAAGCTGCAGAAATAACTTATCTTGGTGCAGCACCTTGTTAGGCGAGGCCTGAAATTTTATGTATTGAAACTCTCTGTTATCATCCAGGCTACCTGGCAGCCCATTCCATTATCATCCCTGCCTGCCCTCCTTTCTCTTACCTTGGGCTCAATGGGTTTCCACCCATTGGCTTTGAGCTGGTGAAGTTCAGCAAACTTCATGCTGACGTCTTCAATGGAGAGCTGCAGAAGGTCCCAGAATCCAGCCAGGTCCTGGAAAGTTGGCATGGGAAAAGCATTGGGGTCCTGATGGGGAGCGGGTGGAGAAGGAAAGGAATAGGTGGTCAAAGGCCTCCTTTCGGGACTCAGGACGGATGTGGTCAAATTAACTTGGATAAGGATGGATAAGTAAGGCCTGAATTTTGTGGTGCCGAAGCAGATCTGAACACTTCTTTGAGTGACTTCTTCCATGAGAAGAGAGTAGAGACCATCAGGCCCATGGAAAGGTGTGAGTCTGTGTCACAAAGGGCATCCCCCTGCCAATTCCCCTCCTTCACATACTACACTGCTCTGTCCTGATGTGCTTCCATGCCCCACCAGTGATTGCCAGTCACTCAGATATGGTTTCATGCTGTGGAGAAATGCAGCATTTTGTCCCAAGGAAAAAGGCCAAACTCACAGGCAACATCAAAAAGCAACTTCATTTTAAACCTACTAAAATGGGTTTCAAAAGCATCTTATGCACACACAGAGAGATTTTCTCACCATATTCTGCTGGCAAAGTCGATAAAACTGCTGGACTTTCTGGGACATCAGAAGCTGGGCGCTACCCACTGCGCTACGGATCTTCTCAAGGACTGAGGAGATGCACAAAGAAAATGAGAACAACAGGGGTGAAATGACCTCTGGTGGAATCACTCCAAAGCCTACTCAAGACTGGAAAGTCTCTGTTGGTTCTCTCAGCTTGAAGGACAACCTGTGCCTTGTGTCTCCTGGAAGAATCCTTCTCCCCACCAGATGAGGGAAGCTTTGCTTCTGAGATGGAGGCTGGGTGATCACCTGGCCTTCCAGAGAGTTGTCCTCTCAAGAGGTAGGCCAGTAGGGTTCCAGTAAGAAGGTGTGCTTGGTTATAAAGGAGGATTCCTCACTAAAGCCAAACATGGGATTGGTATCTGGGTCCAGGAGGTCATCAATGCCTCACCGAGGCAGGGCCAGGTCCCTGCACCTTTAAAGGAAGCAGTGATCAGGCCCATCCTGAAGAAGGCATCCCTGGAACCAGAGGTGGCTGCCAATTATAGACTGGTGGCCAACATCCCGTTTCTGGGCAAGGTGTTAAAGCGGGTGGTGACGGGACAACTCCAGGCACTCTTGGATGAAACTGATTATCTGGACCTATTTCAATCCGGTTTTCAGACCTGGTTACTGTACCTAAATTTGCCTTGGTTGCCCTGTACAATGACCTGTGCAGGGAAAGGGACAGGAGGAGTGTGTCCCTGTTGGTTCCTCTGGACCTCTCAGTGGCTTTTGATACCATCGACCATGATATCCCTCTGGATAGGCTGACTGGGTTAGGAATAGGAGCCTCTGCTTGGCAGTGGTTCCGTTCCTACCTGGTTAGCCGATTCCAGGAGGTGGTGCTGGGGGACTATGGATCTGCGCCATGGCAACTCTGCCATGGAGTCCTGCAGAGTTCCATTTTGTCCCCTTTGCTATTTAACATCTACATGAAACCACTGGGAGAGGTCATCAGGAGCTTTGGGCTGTGGAGTCACCAGTATGCTGATGACACCCAGCTCTACCTCTCTTTTTCAACTAGTCCAGGTGAGGCAGTGGTTGCCCTGAACTGGTGCCTGGCCGAGGTAATGAGCTGGATGAGGGCCAACAAACTGAGACTCAATCCAGATAAGACAGAGGTCCTTTTGGTAGGTGGTCCAGGTTTTCAGGTAAGTGACTTTGGCCCTGTCCTGGATGGGATTGCACTCCCTTCTAAAGGACAGGGTCCGCAGCTTAGGAGTGCTTCTCGACCCAGAGCTGTCCCTGGAAGCCCAGGTGACGGCAGTGGCGAGTAGCACTTTCCTTCAGCTTCAGCTGATCCATCAGCTGCGTCCTTACCTAGACGAGAACTGCCTAGAAATGGTGACACATGCTCTGGTAACCTCCCGGTTACTCCCGGACTATTGTAACGCGCTCTACCTGGAGCTGCCCTTGAAGACAGTCTGGATACTTCAAATGGTGCAAAACAGAGCAGCCAGGTTGCTGTCAGGGGTCAGTCATTGCTCTCATATAACTCCAGTCCTCTATCAGCTTCACTGGCTTCCCACTGAATTCTGGGCCCAATTTAAGGTGCTGTTAATGACCTATAAAGCCCTAAATGGCTTGGGACCAGGATACCTAAAGGAACGTCTCTTTCCCTACATGCCCTCCTGCCCTTAAGATCTGCAGCAGAGGCCCTGCTCCAGGAACCCTCCTTGAAGGAGATCAGGAGACAGAGTACCCAGAGGAGGGCCTTCTCTGCAGTGGCGCCCCGGCTATGGAATGCACTCCCTAGAGAGGATTTCCTGGCTCCATCATTATATGCTTTTCGGCATCAGGTCAAGACCTTTTTATTTACCCAATATTTTAACATTTAAAGGATTTTAATTATTTTTTATTTCAGTTGTGGGTTATTAGTTTTATCTTTGTTGGGTTATTTATGATCTTTTATATCGTTGCATTTATTGAACCTGTTTTGTAAGCCGTCCAGAGACGCACAGTGATTGGACAGGTTAGAAATATCCCAAATAAATAAACAAATAATAAATAAATTCCTCAAGAAGAAAGGACTCAGAAGTAAGGCCCTCGTCATGAGTAGCAACATTGTTAAAAGAGCTCTAATGAATGGCAGCTGAGCCCTGGATGGGCATCCAGCCATACAAGCCTTTGGTATGAACCTGACGGTGGCCAGGTATGACACTCTGCCTTCAGCTTTGGTGCCTTGTCTTTGCCTGTGAACTGATCTGCTGCTTGACTCCAATCCTGCGTTTCGACCTTGGGTGAGTCCCAACTTGCTTCTGGGAGCAAGCTATTGGCCCAGCAATATTGGGATTGTCTATTGCCTCTGCCTTGGCTATTCCTGCCTTGAACTGATGCTATGCTGGACTGACACCTTTTGTGTGTAACTCTTTGCATGCCTACTGGGCTTGTCTCTGGCTTTCTTTAAGGCCGCAGAACCCAGACAGAGCAGCATAAACCACGTATGGCATTAACGGTGTTTCTGTTTGAACGCGCAGCCTCTTTTCCTTCTCAAACTGTGGGAAAATGACCCTGGAGTGGGGCTAGGTTGGGATTGTAGCAGGTGTGGAGGAGGTCTAACGTTCTGCTAATGTCATCCTGGCTGTTATCCCACTGGTAAGAAAAGCAGGGTGATGGAGATCAAGAGTTGTTAGGCGGAGCTGGAGATCTACACCATCAGCCACTCTTTCAGACAGCAGATCCTCTGGGATCTGGGGTGGGAATGTTCTCAGCACGAGACCTTTAACCCAATGCTTTACTGAGGCATGTTCTTACTTTTTTATGAGAAGAGTAGAGTGCCCCTTTTTCCTGGGGGTTTTCCTTTCCACCTTTCCATTCCTTGTATTACATAGCACAGGCTGCTGTGGTGTAGAGCAGACCTTACATAACGTTTCCATAGGGAATCATGGCAGTGCTCAGGATAACATGATGTTATTCTTGTTCTAAAAATTGTGAAAGTAGCTAGAAAAATGGGAGAAAGGCGGTATCATCTAACAGACCTGCAAAATTGCATGAGTGTGTAACCCTAGGAAATATTGGTGCAGCCCAAAAGGTTGGGGCAAAGGAAAAGCAGGACGGGAGGAGGTTTAAATCAAAAAGTGGGACAGCTGAAGAGGCAGGAACTGCTGTGGCCAGTAAGGCCCTTGCCAGCTTGGTGTAGGCATAATTCCTACGTTTGTGTTGCGAGGTGAATCCACATAGTGAATCCGTGCATGTACAATTGGATTGACATTTTTTTCCAGCATTTTGGAGATTCTCTGTGTGGAGCTGACTGTTTTGTGTTGGGGATACTCAGACCAGTTGAAGAGGGCATTTTGGATTCTTTTGTCTGATTCTGGATTTCAAAGGACACTGGACCTCTGCAGCTGTACAGGCAGTTTTTGTATTGGTGCTGTTGCCAGGGACTTGGGTACGCAGCTTGTAGCATTTTCCTATTACTGTAATGGTTTTGCTGTTTTTTAATATAATTCTTCATAAGAAGAGGTTCATTTTGAAGGTAAGATTGCGCTGCAATGTTCATTGGAGAGCAAATAGCCCCATAGCGTTTACCAGTGTCACCAGTGCCCACTAAATGCCTAGCATAGGAAAAGGCAGGTCTCTCTGAGCTGCAGGCTTCGGAGCTGCCACATATGGCCAAAACCCCGGGACTCTCCCTCGCCTCTTGCACTGCTTGGCCTGGAGCAAGTGGGACTGCTTAACCACATGTCTGTTTCCGGCTTAGCCTTGCTCAGAGCTCCCTGGAGCAATGCCTCCCTCCTAGTTTCTGACGGATTTCTACCTTGTCTGCTGCACCCTGAACTCTGTCTCACACCTGATCCACAGAAAGGCCCTGCAAAGCCAGAGCACAAAGCGTCGCGAGAACCCACAGCCCAGAGCGATGCGACCCGCAACCCACCATGTCCTCAGAGACTCACTCTCTTCCGGCAGGTCATAATCTTCAGCCTCCCGCTCCATCTGCTGGCACCAGCCTTCCATCTTTTCCACCTCTGCTTGCAGCAGCTTGATGAACCATTCGCCGTCCCGGTGGCAGGGCGATGCCCGGCCGGAATCGGGGAGGCTGCGCGAGCCTCTGTCCATCCAGGAATCCTGGCGTGGCACCTCCACCGTGTCATACTGCATCTGGTAGTCTTCCCGGTAGGCCCAACGGCCTTGCGTGTGCACCGTCTTGTAGACCGAGTACTGCCGGGTTGACTCTGGCTCCGACGCGTGTCGCTGGAAGGGGCGCCCGAACTGAAGGGCCTTGTCCTCTTTGGCCACGGCCAGCCCCGCCAGCCCCTCCAGCTCCAGGTCAGCCTGCACGCCGGCCGTCACGCTGTTGGACCGCTTGAAGCGAGCACGCCTGCCAGGAGGAGGGGGCAGGTTAGAACCCTCGAGTTGGACCCCTCCGTGGGGGACGCGGAGGGGCCTGGATGGGTGGAACAGCCTCGACTGTGGTCGGACATCGGCCCGCCCGCCCAGCTCAGCATGGCCTACTCTGGCTGGTAGCGGCTTTCCAGGTTTTCTTTCCCAGGCCGACTGAGAGATGCTGTTATGTGCCCTGAAGTCACCTCTGATTTATGGCAACCTTACAAATGGGAGCCCTCCAAAATGTCCCACCTGCTCAGTTCTTGCATGTTCCAGGCTGTGGCTTCCTTTATCCCGGGGGTTAACCTGAGACCTAGATGTCAGCCCCCCAAATCTTCTCTTTCCCCATATATATAACTGATGGGTCAGATCAAAGGCCGGTCTAGCCCAGCAGCAGCCCAGTGGCCAATGTGCCAGCGGGACGTGAGTGCCAGAACGCCCTCCTGCCCATGGACCCCAGCAGCTGGTGCAGTGCCTCTAAGAGTGGAGGCACCTACAGCCATCAAGTCTAGCAGCCTGGGGGGCCATCTTCATGGCTCTGCCCAGTCCCGTCTCAGGGATCCGCCCAAGATGTGAGCAAGGGGAGAGTTTCTGAAAGCAGTTGTTTAGACTGGGTTCAACAAACCACTCTGTGCATGCTCAGAGATAACATCCTGTGGTGACTGAGTTTATTGGGCATACTTTAGTGAATAAAGAGCTTTTTGCAAAGGAATGGTTTGCTGCCTTGAGTGTGTGAAGGTGGAAAATTCTCCTGACATGGTGGATTTGGGAGGAGTTTCTTGAACTAGCTCCCCCCAGTCCATTATTTCTTGACTTACGTAGCTTTATCTTCGCCATCTACCCTACAGGGGGGAAAAGCAGGAACTGCTTGCTCCTGAGGGGCTGTCAAGACTAGGAAATGAGTCCAGCCCTCCCTTTCCTGGCACAGTGGTTCTGACCCAACAGCACTTGCTCGTCTGGCAAATGTTAACTCTAAATGAGTGCCCAGTTGCTCTTGTAAACAGATCCCTCACTACTCAGCCTGCTTTTGCACAGCTTTACTCACCCTTAGGTCCCCCAGATGTGCTGGAATATAATTCCCAGCATCCCCAGCCACCCCGGCAATTACATGTTGTACTTGGAGAAAACTGGGAATTGTAGAAGGGAAGTTTTCCTCGGATTTCCAATGGGAGGCTTTTTTCTTCTTTTCTGTTACTAATTACAGCAAATGCAGGGGGAATTTTTGCTAGAATGGTGGCGGGGAAGGAGCTCCTCCATGCACTGCCATCCTGATCCAAAACAAACCGTATTTACAATTAAATAACTTCTTTAAAAAACCGGTATGATGCTGAGGGAGATGCCATTAATGTCAGGCATAGTTAGGCTTTTAGTATTCAGAAGGAAAGAGCCCAAGGGAACCAGCGGGGCTAATTAGCACAAGGAATTAGGCTCCGGGTGCGTGTTTGTTTATGTTTTGTTCCGATTCCAATCACCGAGCAGGAGTTAGCAAAGGGCTTGGCCCATGCCACTGTGCAGCTGGAACCCGTCTATGCGCAGGACTTGGGGAAAGGTCATTTGGGCCCCGGTACCTGTCCGTGCGCAAGAGCGACCACTGGGGTGGAGAGAGGAGCCCGCTCTCAGACCACCAGTCAGAAGCAGTGGCATCCGCACCCACATTCCCACGCCTTGCTCTCCCACCCTCCTTTTCCCAGCCTGTTTCTATGGCAACCCATTTTGGATGGATGCTGAAGGAGCAGAGCGCACTGCACAAGTGTGTGCGCAGGGGGAAATGTGCCAGCCAGCCCCTCCCTGAGCAGAGACAAGGGCCAGATGGGGGTTTGCCACCTCACGGCCCCCAAGATGGACGCATCCACGGGAGGAGGCACTGTGGGGAGCCCCAGTGGGCCTGGTGTTCGTGCGGATCAGGCCCCTGAGGCCCATCTTGTTCCTGACTACAGACCTCGTAGAGCCCTGCCTCCTCTCACACACTCCTGTCCTCCTGCATCTACTGGCAGTGTCTGAATGGCGATGACCAAAGTCTGATCCTACACATGACCCACACAACAATTTGACAGGTTCACGTTTGTAAATTTTGTTCTGTGATCTTGGAATGTGATGAACTTGAACTCAAACTGATTCTTCATTCCCGCAAGCTGCAGTGGAGGGAGACGAGCGGAGAGGCAAGGCCATTCCGCCTGTTCTGCTGGGACAGCCCTTGCTTTCCCCTTTTCCTTCTGCATATCATTTCCCTTTTGTGCTGTGTCTATTAAGACCGTTAACAGTGCAGTCCAGTGTGTCTGACCATGAGTCTTGGAACTGAAGGGGCATCTTATGGAGGGCAGGAGGAGTGCAGAGGGAAGACCTTCTCCCTGCCCTCCCTACCCTGCAGAAGGCCTAGACGGCTGGAATCAGAAGAGAAGAAAATGAAGATGAAGCACTATCGGGATACTGAAGCTTCCCTGCCACAGAAACAGGGACAGAATGCTGGCTTCAAGGTTGCTCCTCCAACTTCAGAGCCGCCAGCAGTGCCAGCTGGGAAGGTGAAGGGAGGCTGCTGTGGAGTCGGGGCCCCAGCTCTGACCTCACCGTGCATCTCTGAGGTCAGAGCTGGGCCTCCGCTCTCTCCTTGGCCAGATAGATGGTGTGGCTTCTCTTCCCTACCTCATGTGAGCTGGTAGCACCCTGAGTAGTTTGCCTCATGGTTCTGGGGCTGTTTCAAAGCTACCCCCGCTGCCCAGCTCACCATGTTTGGGTGATATGGGAAGCTACATGCCCTGCCAGCTGGTGACCCATGTGCCACGGGACCGCCTCGCATGGGGTGGGGAAAAGTTGCACGAACTGCTCTTGCTCGGATCTTTGTAGAAGGCATGTATTGTGCGTGTGAGTTTGGAAGCGAAATATTGCAGTCCGGGGGCAGCAGGCAATGTTGATGAGCAGCAACAGTGTGTAGGCAACAGAATGCGGACGCCCCAGCCTGGGACCCGAGTTATCCCCAGAGGGCCGTTGAACCAGCCATACCTTTTATCTTCTTCCACTTGCACCCCAATGGAGTGAAACTCTCGGCGGCTTCTGTTTTCTGTGTCGGAATCGGATATGGTTTCCACCTTTGGGAGAGAGAAAGGAGAAGGGATAAATCAGAGTTAGAGTGGGAGGAAAGCTAAATTGAGGAAGGGAGGGAGGGAGGGAGGGAGGAAGGAAGGAAGGAAGGAAGGAAGGAAGGAAGGAAGGAAGGAAGGAAGGATCCAGTAGTATCGAGCATAGTAGTGGGCTGAGAAGTAGAATGAAAAAAGAGAGCAGTGAGAATGAGATTGATAAAGAGGAAAGGGGAAAAAGTCAGAAGGAAGAAAGAATAAAAAGGATCAGAATGAAGCATGAGCAAAATAAATAAGAGTCTGAAAGGGAAAGATGTAAGAAACACAGAAAAAGAAAAGCAAGAAAGATGGGTAGATAGACATGGAAAGAATGAAAGAATATAAGGAAGAAGGAGAGGAGAAATTTGGAAGAATGGGAGGGAATCAGGAAAAAGGAATGAACCAAGGAAAGAAAGAATGGTAGAAAATAATCTACCCAATGAATGTACAGACAAGAACTAGCACAGGCAAGTGGTGGGTGGATGGGTGGTGGAGGAATCACCAGTCAGGTAAGCAGCAGAGCTTAGAAGCAAGAATGAGCAAACGAGAAAGATCTGCAGGTAGTTGGGATGCAGAAAGAACAGGGATGGAACTCACACAAGGGAACGAGCTGGAAGGGGGTTCCTGTGTTGCCTGAACGGAGCAGAGTGGCTAGGATGTGGCTAGAGGTGTCACACAACAGAGCAAGCCACCGTGGCTTCTGAGTCCCCATGGCTTACCGCATGGTGTCAAGTCAGTCACAGAATGCTCTTGCAAAACAGGCATGTGGATTTTAAATTCCCAGCACCAGATGCAAAAGCAAATCCAGATAATCTCTGTAAGTGTGGAACAGAGATCAGATGCAGCAGCCTGTGGGCCCTCCTGGAAAGCCCTTCTTCCCAAGGGATGCCATGCCAAGGACAAAGGCTTGGGCCCCAGTGCCCAGAGGCCCCAGCCTGCCAGCTGGGTGGGAAGGATCGCCCCCCATTCCAGGAGAGGCTCTTCATGGGCTCAACTGGCTCCTTGACCGACCGATTCACAACTCTGAGGCAACAGCAATTGGACTGTCAGACGGGGGAGCTCCAGGTTTGTGAGCAGACCGGCATGGGGTGTTTATGGTGCTCTCAGGGCTCCTCACTTGCTGCAGTTTGCAGATTCTTCAGAGACACCGCGATTTTCCAGTTCCGTTCCTGTTTTGTAACTGCACATTCTCGTGTTTCTTTTAGGAGCAGGGTGAATGGGGCATTATTTGGAAAGTGAAGGATCAACTTGTACGTGGTGCTGTTCTGCTACAGCACAGCGCCACCTAGACATGGTGTGGTGGAAAAGCGGGAAGGAAGAGCTCTGTGTATCGCTGGGGTTGCCATCCTGTGGCAATATCGCAAACAGAGAGTGGCTAACAGCCGCACACAGAAAAACACCAAATCTCTGCACAGTCATGAAACTCCCCTTGGACCATCTTTCAGCCTGTCCTGCCTGGCAGGGCTGTTGTGAAATAACCTGTGGGGAGAGGAGCCATATAGGCTGGCTTTTGCTTCCTGAAGGAAAGGTGAGGTGTAAACCCAATAGATAAATCAATCCAGATTTTACTGTGCATTTTCCATGGCCGCCTTCCCCAGCTCAGCAGGGGAGATAGCTGGAATATCATTCCCAGGGACCGGCAGGGCTGTCCTGCCCAATTTTACCTCATCTGAACTACTGCCCAGCAAGATTTAGCACAGAGAGACGGTCACCCGGTGCATATACAGGGCATCTGCTTGCACATCTGCGTACACAGGGCATCTGCTTGCACATCTGCGTACACAGGACACGTGCCACAGTGTGATGCATTGCACTTCTCTTATTGCTGCAGTTCCCTAAATGTGCATCTATGCTATTGACATAAGGCAATTTAATGCAGATTTATATCCTCTTTTGTCCTCTCTCCAGTGACGCATTTCCTCTTTTTAGGCAATTCAGATGTGTGTATGCTACCAACTGCATTTCCTGGGCTCTCAGCTGGGAAAATGCCAGGGAACGTGTGCATATGAAGCCCTCATTTCCATCTGACTCTGCCCCCGGGAAACACAGCTGAGACGCTGCCCTCTATGAGCAGATATTGCTTCTGCTCTTTGAAAGGTGATGGTGGAAGATTATAGAAGAGTAGAGCTGGAAGAGGCCTATAAGCCCATCAAGTTCAATCCCCCATTCAGTGCAGGACTCCAAGAGAAAGCATCCCTGACAGGTGACAGTCCACCTGCCTCTTGAATGCCTCCAAGGTGCCGAGCCCATGACCTCTCCTGGCTGTGGGCTCCATTGCCATCGTGCTCTAACAGCAGGTGCATCAGAAAAAACTGCTTACCTTGAGAGCCCGCTTCCTTGAATGCTGACCCTAACCTGAGCCCATTATCCTGTATCCCACACTCGGGGATGATGGAGAAGAGGTCCTGGCCCTCCTCAGTGTGATAGCCCTTCAAGCACTTGCAGAGTGTCTCCCCGCAGTCTTCTCTCCTGGAGGCTAGACTTGCCCAGCTCTTCCGGTCTCTCCTTGCAGGGCTTTGTCTCCAGTCCGCAGAGCATCCCTGTTGCCCCCCCCCCCCGAACCCTCCCCAGCTTGTCTGCCTCTTTCTTCAACTGTGGTGCCCAGAACTGGACACAGTCCGAGGGGGAAACATTTCCTGGCTTATTTATTTCTAAAATGTTGCTACTCTGTGCTCATCCGTACATCCCACCTTCCTAACCGCCCCCCCCAAACAAATCCAGGGTGGTCTGCAGAAAGCAGCCCATAGTGGCAATTTGATTGCCAGAAAATCAGGAGTAGCACTTTCCACAGTTTGGAGAACTTTCTGGTGACAAGCCAGGGAGCAGCCGCATGAGTCCTCCTGCAGCAACCTGCTCCCCACCCCCGGCCCCCAAGTCATGTATTATGGAGAGTTTTAGGTGGTCCATATAATCTGCCTGGCGGGGGTGGGGGGAGGGAATGATAGTTCACACAGAGGGAAGTTCAGAGAGCACGGATGGTGCCAATCCATTCATTTAGAGCGGCCATCCGCAGCTTTTCTCCATACGGAGAGAAATGTCACCGCCTTCTCTCAGATTGCGCAGACTGAGCTGACATTACAAAGGCCCATGAGCTGAGGCCAGTGGAACTTAGCAGCTCCTTCCTCCTGCCAGGAGAAAACTTCACCTACCGAATTTCTGTGCATCAAGGTGCTTTTAAAGCTGCTGGACAAACAACAAGGTGGAAATGGCGGATGGGCTCCAACGGCGTCTCTTGTGTTTGGAGGAGCCCCTTGCAGCATCTGGAGTAGAACGGAAAGGCTGGGCATCGAAAGCCCCCTAAACAGCACGCACACCGCTGCCTTCCATCTCCAGGCTTCTCATGCTGGACTTTTATGAAACAGTGGCAGCAGTTGAATGGCTTCGTTCTGTGTCAGCTTCTAGTGATTTGTTAAGAGCCGGGGACCCTGCTTTTAACATTTTTGACCTTGTCAAACAAGCAACCATGTGCCATGAAGTTGAATCAGACACTTCCTTTCCACCAACGTGCCCCCTTGGCTGATCTGCTCTGATACACTTGTCTGAACTTCATTTAACCTCTCCCCGCAACACCTGTGCTGATTCCAACTGACAAGGGACAGGCTGGCTAATGAAGCGGGAGTGAACGGCAGGCGGGAGAGATGCAGATCGAGGAGACTAATAAAATTAAAACTAGCAGCAGCAACGACCAACAGAAGGGAGATGGAGCAGGTGCCTGCCTTGGATTCCTTTTTGTTGCAAGTTTGAGGTCTCCATGAAAAATCAGATTCTTTGCTGCACCTGGGAAACAAAATCACGAAAGAGTGGGATTTTCCACTTCGGGATGGACATGTCGTCTGAATTTACCCCTTCAGGCCTTTCCATCAGCCAACATGACTTGAGAGCAAGCTTGTCATTCTGTATTCCTTTCTTAGAAGGTTTGAGGGCATATTTTCATTTTGACAAGGACGGTCTATCCAGCTCCATCTTTGCTCAAGAGGGCTGAAGTAAGGAAAGCTGCACAGTCGGCCTTGCTCCTCTAACAGTGGCTTCTCTGCCGTATAGCTAGGCTTTCTGTATTCCCAGTAATATGCAGATGGATCCAAATAAGGACATGTACACATTTTGCAAAGAATGTAAATGAAATTAAATGAACAGGGCCCACTTATTCCAATCACATCATAACCAGAAAAGTAATGCATAAGGAATAAATGAAAAGAAACAAATGAGTAACAAATGAATCCTGGATCTCTCCTTGTCTTTGGCTGCGTGTGGAGTGTGCGCGCACACACACGCGCACACACACACACACAGCTAGTTTTAACTGGCTATGGCTTTTTCATAATCCCTTCCTTGCTGTTTTCTGTTATTTCCAACTGCTGGGGCTGCATTTGCTCTTTTAGGGTGGAGACACAAAGGAGGTTTTAAATCTGTCTTTCCCAATGTGATGTCTCTCCAGGTGTTTTGGAGAGCAGTTCCCATCATTCTGAGCTCTCGTGCCTGTTGAGTAGGGCTGGTTGAAGTTGAAATCCCCAACATCAGGCCCACAAAGATGGTCATAAAGTGTTAATTCAGGGCTGTATCTTTGTTCTTCCAAAGAAAGGTGGAGTAGAAATATTTCAAATGAGTGCTGTTTCATGCTTTCCCCTGAGCATCCAGAAGAGATCAGAGGGACATTATGGGGAAGAGAAAGAGATTGCTGCTTGGATCGCAGTTTGCTTTCGTCAAGGCCACAGGACGCCACTCGGCTGTTCCCCGGCCTCCGGCCTCCAGGAGCAGTGGTGTACCTGGACCATTCCAGGCTTTGCATCCAGGTCTTGGGGGGGCCACCGCTTCTGGTGGCCACAGCTCAGCTCTTTCACTTGTGAAGCAGGCGAGCAACACTCCCCTTCCCTGAGTGCTTTCCCTTCTGTCACTCCACGCTGTACTGCTGCGCCCACATTCCTGCTCCATTTGAGTAAACGGAACTGATCGACCCGTAAAACGGTTGGCCAAACACGAAAAACGCCTCAAGCATTTTTAGTTTCACATTTTCAACACACTTAAATCCTAGCACCCTCATGACGATGACGATAGGAATGCCAAGGAGTTTGCTTCTGCCCTAATGCTGGAGCACTTCACTTTGGAATAAGCAGCATTTTAGTGCAGAAACAGGCGGTGCATTTTAAAAGGTGAAATAATGAAAGGAGCAGATGTTACTCTGTGCGCACCTGACAAGCTGCTTTCTGACTCTGTGTGTGTGTAAAGGAAGCATGGATGTTGTGTTGAGCCAGGACGGTTCCAGAAGGCCCATTCATGGCCCAGGTCCTGGTTGCCACTGCCACCCCTTTCCGCCACTTTCTAGGAGGTCAGCTGGACTCCCACAGGGCCAGACGGCGACCCTTGGTTCTCTTGGCCTCTCTAGTTTGTGCTGAGATTTTTGAGACAAAGCAAAAAATTGTGAAAGCAACTATCAGCATCTAGGATTTCAACTAAAAATGCACATAGCTAAACTATGGTTTATGTGAACCACGGCTTGCTCCTTTATCCATGATTGATCATGCTGATTAGCAATGCTTTCCCCTTTTCTGGTTTGTTTCTTTTGGCCCGCTTTTCCAGCCTGTGGAGTGTGGCTCTTGCGTGGGCATTTCTGTTTCACAGCAGACAGCAGAGTGGACAAGCCAGGAACATGCCATACTTGGAGGTCTAGACTTCAAGGGACCAACGGCACTAGGCATTCTTTCTGGCATTGCAGTGCCTGAGTCCCTGGTGTGGCAGGTGATGGGGTATTGGCCTGCTGCCTTTACCCTATGGGAGTAAGGAAAAGTGGTCATCTTTCCTTAACCAAGAAACACACAGAAACCCCAACAGTCTTGGTGCCTTGGGCAACACCAATGGGTTGAGAAAAAGAAGCCAGCTTCCTTTAAAGGGCCATTTCACTGCATGCATCCTCCTTTCCAGCTCTTCCTACTTCTCCCACAATTGTGAGACAGAGCATCACATTCCCAAGAGATTGAAAACGTTGCTGTATTCATGCGCATGTGCCCCAGCAGTGCTGCAACCTCTCTGCCTGATCAACGGCGAGGACTCCAGGGTGGATCCCTCTCCAAGACAAGCCAGACCCTGTAAGTCCACATCAATCCAAATGCTTCATTTGTGGTTTAAACCATGGTTCATGGGGATTGTTCGACAGGATGACAAGCCAGATTTCCACAAAGCAGTCCACGGTTCATTAGGAATGAGGCCTATGATTTAGATCAGGGTGAACAACCTAGAACCCTCCAGATGTTTTAGACTACAATTCCTGACCACTGGCAATGCTAGCTGGGGTTGATGGGAGTTATGGTTCAATGCAACTGGAAAATGCCAGGTTGTCTGTCCATCTCCGAGCAATGGCTGTGTGCATGTGGAATTGGAACACTTTTTGTTATGTTTCTGAAATTTGATAGGTCCTAGACCAGGATGAAACAAAAGTAATCCAACAGCACAAATTCCAGATGCAGAACAACAGGGTCTCCAACTGAAAGCAATAAAAAATTACAAGAAAAGGCACGGGATGTGATAATACAAGAAACATTTGCAGTTCTTTCATAACAAAAGCTCTTTATCCCATGATCTGCATTGCTAGCAAAGGATTATAGAGAGATTAATAGGATCAAGTGCTTAAACAAGATGCTCAAACCATATAGTTTGCCTTCATGCACACAGCCAGATCAAGTCATCTTTGATGTCTAATTCTTACCTCCTACTAAGTAATAACATGGAAGTTTGTCTACTGCAAAGTTTTGGTGACTATTGAACCAATGGGTGCTGAGTGGCACATGTATTGTTGGATTTTAATTTAATATTTATATTTTTAATTTATATTATAATTATTTTAACTGGATGATGTGAGCCGCCCCGAGGCTTCGGCGAATGGGGCGGCATAAAAATGTTTTGATAAATAAATAAATAAAATGTCTTCCTGGCTGCACCGAGACAAAGTGGCCTGGCTCACAGTGCCAACTCTTGGTTAATTTAAGCCACAGTTTCTTGTCCTACCCAGAGTTTGACTGGCAGATGATCATCCAGACCAGTCTTACATTGTTCTCGGAGTGGTTCAGATGAGAAGCAATGCAAGACACTGACTCTCTTCACGCATGCATGCAATTCTTCCACTGCCCTGATCCCTGTCTTTAGAAAGCAAATCTCCTGGAATGCCGAGCCCATTCTCAGCCTACCTGAACTCCGATAGATGGGCGCCATTTCCTCTGGCGGGCCAGACTTCGCAGTTCCTCCCTCCCTGGGATTGTCCGGATGATGAGGGTGGAGGGCTTGGGGGAAGTCCTGGGCTGGACGGAAGGCAGGTCCAGGGACATGGCAGTGATCTTGGTATTTTCCAGGCTCTCGGTGGAATTGCAGCGCTTGGCGGCCTCTTTGGACCAGGACGGGCTTCTGTTGACCTCTCTGGGCAGGAAGCTGTCGTGGGTGGACTCAGTGCTGCTCTGCGTTGTGACGGAAATGAGGGGCTTGGCTTTGATCCCTGAAGGGAGGGGAGGCGGTGCTTTTCGGTAGCTGAAGGCTGCATGGAGGTTGGGGGTGGGAAGGGAAGGGAAGGGAAGAAAGCCATAAGGGGTGGATTAAAAGGGAGGCTTTTACTCTCCTAGGCACCTATTGGAGTAGACCCATGGTGTCACATGTGGTGAGAGAACACCCCACCCCCTCATATTCACCACATTCTGGAAGGGTTTCCTTTTTTGACAACATTGGTTCAAGGCTGACAAAATGGCTGAAAGACTGTGCTGGAGCTGGGGGTTTTTGACTGCCGTGTACAAATGCAAGTTGCTTTCTGTTTATTCATCAAGGAAACTAGGGCTGGGCTGCAGTGAGGTGGAGCAGCGTCTCAGGAGTAGGGTGAGCTCTGGGTTCAATTCTCAACTTCTCCAGGCAGTTCTGGGAAACACCCAAAATGCAACCTTGGAGAGCTGCTGCGTAGTTGGACTAGACATCTCCAACCTGCTCACCTCCAGATCTTTTGGACATTGGCCCTTCACCAGCCCCAGCCGATGTGGACAAGGTCAGGGAATGCTGGGAGTTATCGTGTAGAACACCGGGAGATGGGGGCATGCGGTGCTGTGTGAAGGCTCATTGATCTTACTCGATAGAAAGGCTGCTTGTGCGACTTAAGGGCACACAGCAAAGTCCCAGAGCTCTTGCTTCATGTGCAGAAAGTCCCAGCTTCAAATCGCTGAGGAGGACCCTGTCTGAAATTTTGGAGAGCTGCTGCTCATCGGTGTGGACAATACTGACCAATGGTCTATGTCAGTGGTACCTGCATTAGAGGCCAGTGCCCTCTTTAGGGCCACATCTTAAATCACAATGTAACTAAATTATTAACCTACCAAATTAGAGCAAAAGAGGTTGATGAAGAAAGGTTAACTTGAATGCAATCCATTTGGAGCAATAGTTTACTGTGCAGCCCTTTTGCCTAGTCAGTGTGACGTTTGTGGCTGTTTGCTGTTGGCCAAGACATTCATGCCCAAGTCAAGGTTTTTACCAGACACCCTTAAAATATCTGGTAAACGGTCATCTGTAAGTCTTGACCTACACCTGGATTTCACAATTTTCATCTTGGAAAAACCCTTTTCACAGATGAATGTGGTGCCAAAGCCCGTGGACATGCCTACAGCAAATTGCTTTAGGTTGATAAATACATCAGGTGGACCAGACTGAAAGCTGACAGACTATTTTCTTTGTAAATGTCTCTGAGATGATCACTGATTTGCAAATCAATTAGTGCCATCTGAAGAAATTTACTTGCATCCTCCAGTGCTGCTTCAAATGGATTCTGCAAGTTGCTTATTTCATTTCCATGCTTATGGCAATCAGTGAATCTGTTCTGGTTTGCCACCTGTAATAGGGTCATTGCTTTGATGTGTCTTTTAACACTGAATTGTAAATTCCTGTCCTTCTCAAATTTTAGTTCACCGCAGCATGAGAAGTTTGAAAAGTTACTTTCACTAACTTGCTTCACAAAACGGTTTAGTTTTGTTTCAGAAGCTTTCAGTTCAGAATACATGTCACATGCAAGCTTTTCTTTTCCCTGCAACCTCAGAGTCAATGTGTTCAGATGCTCTGTGCCATCAGGTAAGAAAGCCAAATCAAAAATCCATCCAGGGCCAGAAAGTGCTTCTTGACCTTTTCCTTTCTCATTGAGAAAGACATCAAGTTCATGAGGGAGACCAGAAAATAAATAAAAATAAAAATTTGAGGACTTTTCCTCCGCTAAGCCACCTGACTTGTAAATGGTACAGTATATTTACAATGCATCGGTTTCTGAGACAGCATTTTGAATCTGACGATATGCAAGGCCACAATGACCAATGCAATTAATGCTGGCTACAAAAATACGCATTACACTTTCCCACTGAAGAATCTTATTACACAAGGCTTGCTGATGGAGGATGTAGTCTAATTGCATGGACGTGTACCATTCAATTTCAACATCTCTTCATTTATTCTAGCAAATACAGCAGTTTTACTTCCCACCATATTTCTTGCACCATCATCACTTGTGATGCTTTTCCATTTATCCCAACTTAGACCAGGATTTTCTACTGACTCATACACCGTCAAGAATATTGTTTTCTGAGTTTAGTGCCTTCAAAACTCTGCAGTGCACACAATTCTCCTGCAATCCTGAAATTGGAATCTATTGCCCTGATCAATATTAGTCGTTGAGCTGTGTCTATAATGTCATTGCTCTTTCCTAATTCCCAAGGAAAAAAATCAGAGCTTTCTGCCTTGACAATCAGTGACGTATGCAGCTCTTCTCCTGCTCTTCCACATGCCTGGTGGTCATAGATGCAGACAAACTGGTACAACGAACACAAGACACCTTTCCGCCATTACTTTAACCGTGCACTTCTTAGCAAATTCACCACCGGTGAATGGCTGCCCTCTCAGCAATACGTCTGGGAACATGATAGCCGGCCCTCACAGTCAACAGGTTCTCCTCAATGTGCTTTCTAAAACTATTTTGCTGCAAAAACATGGATTTTTAAAGAGAATTGATCTTGTTCACTTACACCTCTCTGATACATTGAGTAGCTCTTGTGACAGGATTCAAAGTGCCTTTTAACATTGTACTCCTTTAATACTGACTTCGTTTCAAGACGTATTGGGAAAACTGCTTTATCCTTGTTTAAAATGAAGAAATACTCAATTTGCCATTAAAGACATGGTGCTCATCTGCAATGTTTCATTTCTTCGAAACAGCACTTTCTTTTGCAGGCATCTTACGGAATTCTTTTAGCAAAGCGGCAGCTGCAGAAATTCAATATTATCCTTGGATAAATTTAAAAATGTGGGAAGTATGGTTTTAGGGGTCTAACTCTTCCTTTTCCCATCAAATCCACCCCACTCTGGCTGTTCTTAGCTGGGGATTTTCATTTTGACCATGGCAAGGAAGAGAAGATATTTGATATTTATACTGTTATATTAATTGTATTATTGTTGTAAGCCATCCAGAGACATGAAGTGATTGAACGGGTTAGAAATACCCCAACTAAAGAAATAAAGAAAGAAATAAGAGACTCCTGCCTCTACAGTTCTCAGGAATATTGGCCCATAGACACAGGCTGGAAAGAATAAAAATGGATTATGAATCTGACCTACCAGATGGCAGATTGCAATCCCAAGTACACTGAATACTATTTATTTATTTAGAAAATTTCTAGGCCGCCTCATTCGCCGAAGCCTCAGGGTGGCTTACAAATAAATAAATTAAAATACATAAATAACAATATAAAATACACATAACTGTATAAAATAATGAGAGTTCTTTCTTAATAAACACCCTGCCTTGCAGTTGAAATCTACATATGCTAGTGCTTTAAAAATGGGCGGGGGGGGGGTGTCCAAAAAAGGAAGGAAGAATCTCACTGGTAACCTTAGAAGCTGCTTGCAGGAGCCTTGATGGGTGAAACCCTTGGAAATGCTCAGTATGTGAAGCATTTTGTATCCTGTTTGCAAAAATACCTGGCCTTTTACTCCCCCTTTCCTGCCTCTTTTGCAAAAGCGAGGCAGACATCTGCTGTATGCATCCGTGCAGCTGCTTTATCTTCCAGACACACACCTATCGCCTCCAACATGGTAATGCGTGGAGAGGGGGAGTGAAAGAGCTGAGTGGTACCTGAGCTCTCCTGGCTCACAAAGTGCCCAGAATGGCCAAAATGCTAGTAAGGAGCTGACAGAAGAAACCATGGAGACCAGAGGAAACAATTGTGCTATTGTGTTTTTTGTAAGAAATGGGCAAGAAAAACAGCAGTAGCTGCTTGAGTTGGGAAGAGCAGTGTGGATCTGATGGAAAATGCCTTGTGGGTGATCGCAGCAAACAAGCAAGTTGGAGGGCTGCACAGAAAGAGCTTGGGGGCCACGTGCGACCCACCGGCCACGGGATGGGGACCCCTGGTCTACAGACGTGGTGCAATAGTAATTATTTCAGTTTAGTTTTATTTATTCTGTTTCTCTGCTGCTTAATAGCTAAATCCCTTTTGGGTGGCTCATAAAACCAGTCTTCAAGCCAGAAAATGTCCTGGTGTAATAAAGGATATTATAAAAACATTAGCAAATTTGAAACACTAAAACTGGAGTTAAAAGTCAAAGTAAAGGCAGTAGCAATGGAAGATCTGGAAAAACAACATTTCATTAAAAAAATATAAGCAAAAAAGACTTAAAAACCTGGGGGGGGGGGGAGTGTTTTCAACGAGTGCCAAACAGGCCACAATATAGGCACCAAGCAAGCCTCTCTGGGCAGTGCCTTTTGCAACTGGGGTGCCGCCACCGAAAAGGCCTGGCCATCCGTAGTCACCTAGGGATGGTTGAATGAGGGATACGCAAGGGATGCTCACTTTTCCTCCTCTGATTGAGTTCCGAGAGCAAATTTGTATAACTTGAAACTGGGGAGGAGGCAAGCGTGAGCACACGGTTTGGGAATATTGTGTGCTTGGGCCGGGTGTTTCAAATGGGACATGCTTGCTTGTTTCACAAGCAAAACTGAAATGCTCCTGCACCCCTAAAGCCGGCCATCTCACCTCATTTGGCAGGGGGCCTGGCAGGTGACCTCTGCAGCTGCTCTTAGGGTCCAGCCAGGTGCATACAGAGGAGACTTCCCTGCAGATAACGTGATTGCAATCCTTTTGGGGTCTCAGATTCAAAGCCAGCAGCAGGAGGAACCTTCCTGGGTTGATACTTACAGGTGCTTGGCTTGAGGATGCTGCTGGTGAGGGGTTGGCCGGGCTGGTGGGTGGTTGTGGCCATGGTGAAGAGAGAGAGGCAGTCGTCATCCTGGGAGCAGCCGGCCTGGATGGCCCTCAGGTAGCTGTGGCTGCGCATGCGGAAGCAACCCGGAAGGTCCAAGGCCTCCACCGCCTGGGACTCCACCTCACCAAACACGGACTCGCACACGGCCTCAAACTGATGGTTGAGCTCGTCATTGATCTGGGGAAAGGGGAAGACCACGGGAGGGCTGTCAGTGTGCTCGGAGCTGTGCAAAGCAAGACCATCAGTACCTGGGCTTGGCTAGTTTGACTCGGTTGAATCAGAAGGTCAATCGACAGACGCCTGAGCTGAGCTGGGGGAGCTCCAAAATAGAAGGAAATGTAACCACAAGACTGACTGAAGCCCAAGTGGGATCTAAATGTGATGAAGCTTATCTTGGCTTCCACTCAGTGGATTGGCTTGGGTTGGTTAAACCAAAATTTATGTCAGAAAGGCATCCAAAATTAAGGCTTTGGTAGCCAGCAGGCTGATTTAAACCATGACCGCTTGTCACAAACCGTTCCCTCAATGAAGAGACCCCACCTGTTCCTTCTGCTGGTTTGTTTTTGCTCTGGAGTCCTCCAGCTCAGCCACCACGTCTGGCAGCAGTGGGTTTCATGGGCCAATTGTGGATTTGGTGAATTGGGTTTCTCCGCCCTTCACTTGTCGCAAGTCCGAGGATGCTGCCAGGTATCCTCAGGATCCCCACCCAAGCCAGGCCTGCTGCTTTGCATGCTTCAAAGAACCCCTAGAACAGCCTTTGCCAAGCTAGTGCCTTCCAAGTGTGTTGGATGCTGACTGGGAATGATGGGAATTGGAGGCCAACACCTCTAGAGGGCGCCAGGTTGAAGAAAAATCTGGTAGTGAGTTGTGTGCACACAATTTGAACCCGTGTCACACTTTTTAGTGGGAGTTTTTTGTCAGAAGTATGTTAAGACAATGTAGCTTCCAGTGAACCAATGTTTTCTGTGCTTTGCATCTCACTTCCCCACTTCCTGCCTTGTTGCAGGTCTAGCAATAGCAGGAGAAAGTGCAGACGAACCCGGAGAAATGAATTTGGGTTCTGGAGTCTTCGAAATTCCATTTCAGCTGCTCAAAAAGCTCACATGAAACAAAACATCTTACCATCGGTAGATGCGGATTTGGCTGTATACATCCAGGTGCACAGATAATGACTAGGATGCATTTAGATTTGATAGGAGGCCAGCCCAGCCAATTCATTGCTTGTCCAAATAATGTCAAATAAAACAAATTCTTCAGTTAATTTGCACCTTACCCAAGATCATTCCAAACCAATGGAAAATGTGTCCCCTCCCCCCACAGCTTAATTGCATTGCAGGAAGTGGGGAATGGGACATCAGGGGAGAATTAACTCTTCCCTCCCCAGTCAGAATGAAGAACACTCCCTGACTGATAATGAAATTAAGAATATATCCCATTAGCACCAAAGGACAGTCAGGACTCCTGGGAATAATTTCAGGCTGAGTCTTTGCTCTAGTCTGAATAAATTGGGTGCAGGAGGCCTTTCCAAGAGTTGGCAGCTCTGTACAACCCTTAAAAGGCACATAGAAATGAGCATAGGTTCTCTGTGAAAGCAAAGCATGGGGAATCAAGGAGAAATCCGCCAATTGTGGGGAGGGTGTGCGAAGGCCATGCGCCAGGCTAACCATTAGTTATCAAGGCATCTCCATCTCTGTGCTGCTCAGCTGACACATTTCAAGTGCCTGATTGCATTCAGCCATGCCAACTGCTGTAAAGGACTTGCACGATAAAAAGGTGTGGGTAAAGCAAGTTTCTGATTTGCACCATGGCCCAGTGTCCAGATGTGCCTTTTCAGTTTGGTCTCAGATGCAAGGCCTTAATGCTGTTCTATGTTTTCTTAGCTCTATGGTGGCAGTAGCACTGCTCACTCCATGCTTCACAAAGGAGGGGGAATGCTCCCCTGCCGCCCCCCCCCCCCGCAGCACTAAGTCTCCTGGATGAGCGGAGGAGGAATGGCGATTTTTGCACTCAAGTACATCATCTACAAGCACTCTGCAGGGACAAAGATACGCAAGCAAAGTCCACCAAAGAGAGAGAGAAAAAGCAGTCTTTCCCTTTGTTTCCCCATGATGTGCTCTCTTTTCTTTCCACACCTGCACCACTCTCAAGAGAAAAATCCCCAGGTGGAGATTCAGGTGAGCTTTCAACTTTCACCTTTAGAGATGCATGAAGTGATTGCTCTGGGAGTCACATCCCACCTGCACCCCCACCCCCACCCCCACATCCTGGGTCCTGTCCCCCTTCTGCAATGCAGCAGCTAAAGACCGAAGCACCTCACCTGCCCAGTGGTGAAGGAGCGTCCATACCCTTGTCCCCGTTGCCGGATTCGGGGTGATGTGCAGCAGCTGGGACAGTTACAGATATATGAGTCAGAATAGTGTCTACTTGCAAACCTAATGAGAGACATGGGGAAGAAAGGCTTCTGAACAGATCCCAAAGCACGATGTGAGCACAACAGATGGACATGAGGTGGGTTGATTCACTTGGTCTTTAGGAATGAAAGGACCCTGGTTTCTCTTTCCTAGAAACTGGCACCCGGAGGCAACGTGGAGATAATACATAGCCATTCGGCAGGGTGCTCCATGGAGTCGAACATATTTTGGAATGCAGTTCAGCGCCATGAAGCTCCAGATAAAAGCGGCAATGGATGAGGCACCCTGTTGACCCAAGAGCCTCCATTTCCCCACGGCTGAGACTGCTAGTAGCTCTTGTTAGGCTTATCCACCTCCACGAATCTGTAAAATCCCCTTTTAAAGTCATGCAAGCTGGTGGCCATCCCAGTGTTTCATGGATGTCCATGGCTGAACTATCCATGATATGAAGAGCTGCTTCCTGTGACATGTCGTCCAGCTCCTACCATTCAGCCACATGGGATGCCCCCATTGGGCTCTGATATTCTGAAAGAGGGAGAAAACAACTCCTCAGCCACTTGAGGCATGACATGGAAACATGTTGTATTCTATCACCGCTTTTCCTGACCTTGTACCCTTTAGATGTTTTGGAGTTCAGCTCCAACTAGCATAGCCCATGGCCAGGAATGCTGGAAACTGCAGCCCAAAACATCTGGAGGGTGCCGAGTTGGGAAAGTCTCCTCCACCACATTTTCCCTTACTGGCCCCCTTTCCCTCTAAGTAAACAAGCCTTTGCAAACTCTCAGCCTCCATCCAAGAGGCCATAGTCTTTGCCGCCAAGATTCTAGAGAGAGAGAGATGGGTGGGTGGCTCTTGGATGCAACTAGACCCTATGGCATGGCTCTGATCCTAAGCAGTGGGCGGGCTCTGGCATACAGAAAGAAAACCAGCTGGATCAGGAAGATGAGTGATGTGAGTTAAGAAGTGGCAGGCCTCCCAGCCCTGCCACCTGGAGCCTCATGCAGCAGAGCTGCTGGGACCAGGACCACGGAATGCAGCACCTGCCTATGCAGACTTCCCTCCCAGGGACTAGAACCTTTACTTCCAGGGTCTAATTGCACCCCTGTGCAGGCAACACACAAGGCGGGAGCTGTCTGTGAAAGGATGAAGAGTTAGGCTCCAGGACAGAGGCCTGCTTCTTCAAGAGTCTCCACCATCAGGAAGGGAGAGGTGTCTGCAAGGTGCTAGTTTGGTCCAAGAGGGATAAAAGGTCTTGGTGGAGTGCCAGAGCTCACGGAAGCCATTGGTCTTCTGGAGCTGTCCAAGGTCCTGCAGCTCAAGCCTGGCCCTATTTGCATTGCTCAGTCACCCCCGACCATCCCACATACCCTGTGGGCTCCCACTTACCTTCATCATAAGAGACCCCCCACTTATTGAGTGCAGCCCTCAAAACAAAACAAAACAAAACAAAACAAAACAAAACAAAACAAAACAAAACACAACTAGTCCATTTTTGTCCCTTTCCCTAAGCACTGTTCCAGTGAGTTCTGAGCAACTCTTTTCTTAGTTTCTTACTTGGTTCTGGCCTGGTCTACACTGGAGGAACGGCGGTACCCATCACGCCGGGTCACCCCCTTTGGGGACACCTTGGTGCTGGTATCCGAGTCCCCGCTGTCATCATCTCCCATGGCCTTGATGTAACTGCCACTCCGCATCCGCCGACAGGGTATCTCACCATCCTTCCCGGATGCTGGGTATCCTCCCCAGTCATCCTGTGGTACCTGGAGGAAGAAGAGCCTTTGGGCAGCACGTGCGCCAGATCTGCTGGAGTTGGTGGAACAGTCCGTGGGAGATCCCGCCTCTGGATTAAGGTAATTTCTGCAGCATAAGCACTGAACTGCTTTTCAGATGAGGGCTGAACTCCTTTCTGGGTGGGCCACAGAGAAAGGGGCGTGGCAAAAAGCAGCTCCCTTTTGTAGCTTAAAGCTCTCACTGCCAGTAATTAAGCCTTCAGAGAAGCATTTCAACCTTTTAGGAGCGGGAAGAAATTGCACAAAAGCTAGGAAAGAACCAGCTACTCAGACGTCTTGGAGCGGGTGGGCACAAGGGCAACGTGTATTGTGTCCTGGGAACCTTGAAGAGTCAGACTGGGACCCCAGGCAGCCTGGATCGGGTCCCTGAAACTCACGTTCTGCACCTGCCCTCCAGAGGTGAGCCAGCTGCAGCCCTTGGCTTAATGTCAGTGTGATTTAAAAGCCTCCTGCAGGCAATCAGTTCAGAACTTTGGCTAGTGGGATCTGTCCCTTCCCTGGCAGGTCCCTTATTCTCGGTCCCTTCACAAAGGTGGGAGCCATTGAGATCCAGGCACAAGTACTCCAACACACCTGCTGGCACCAGCTTGTCAGAGGCTGCAGTAACTCAACCAATCTGGCCTGCAAATGAAGGATCCCTCAAGAGAGCTCCATTCCTGTTCCTCTTCAGTACAGGCTCCTCTGGGTATGCTCAGCCTTTCCCCATTCTGGGGCACTGCCCCCCACCCAGTGGAAGTCCCTCCACTGTGCCTTGTGCCTCAGAGTACCTGGAATCTCAGCCCCACCGCTCCCCTGGCAGCTGAGTCCTGGCTACTCTTACCCAGGACTGGAGCTGTGCCCGAGGCTGGTGACACTGGCTTGTCCCTCCAATGTTCTTACCATGCTGCGGTGGCGGGCTGGCATCCCTCGGGGTATCCAGGGGGTGGCAAAACCTCTTCCCGAGAGCAGAAGGCCTGCACAGATGCAGCAGCTTCTGTGTCTTCTCAGAGGCAAAGCTGAAGAGTGCTTTTCACCCTCGTCTTGCCCCTCTTGTGTCCCTGCTGGACTGGGCGATGGACCGGGGCTGTGATGGGGAGAGTCTGAATGGGGACTGGAGAGGTGGAGTCTTCCTATCCCGGCACCCCCTCCTGCCCCCCAACTCTGGATGAGCAATGAACTAAGTGTCATTCAATCTCTCCTTCCCCCAGGAAAAACAGAACGGGAGAGCGAGAAGAGTTAATTAGCTTTTAATTGGAAAAGAACAACCCCAGCATGGAATGGCCTGGCTGGCGAGGTCTCCAAGGGTTTAATGCCTGTAGACAAGGTGGGGTCAATGGTTGTGTGTGTGTCCCAGCAGGGAGCAGAGAGGGGTTTGGTTGGAAGCACAAGGGGAAGGCTCTCCTTTTCAAGCATTTCCAGGCTGCCGGAGAGGGGGCATCCTTGCTCCTGAGTAACAAAGAGGGATCTCTCCTCTGTGTTGCCCCAGGCCGGTACCTGTCTCAAGACAGTAACTGGAGCCTTCAGTCTGGGGCTCTGACAGTGGATCTGGCTGTATCTCCCGCATCAGTTCCTGCCCTCCTTTTCCAGAGTTGCAGCTCTGAAATGGATGCCAGAAGGCTCACATCTGTCTATCAAAATAGCTTCATATTCCACCTTTTCCTTTTTTTAGAGAACTCAAGGCAGCTTACATAATTTGCCATCTTATTGTCACAACAACATTCCTGTGAGGTAGGCTGGGCTGAGAGTCTGTGACTGGCCCAAAGTCACCCAGCTGGTTCCATGGCTGAGTGGGGACTAGAACCCAGGTTGCCTCCGACACACACTCTTAACTTTTGTGCCACATGGTTCTATATTTAACATGATCCCAGCTCTCATTTTAGTGAGGGATGATGGGAGTTATGATCTGAACCATTTGGAAATGCTGGATTGGGGAACAGTGGTCTCTATGCACATGAATGAACCCTGAGGAGCTTGTGACCCATCCCCAAATGAGGGAAACCCTCTAGCCTAGAATTGCGGACTGCCAGATGGTGAACTATCACATGGCCTCTTTTGACAGGCAGCAGAACCCGGGAGGACTGAATTCAGCTCAGCAAGCCCAATGGCATGCAGCTTTCCTCTCTTCTCAATTCAGTCACAGTATGGGATGCACAATGTGTAAATTATCTTTGTGTTTTAGCCAACTTGTTCAACAGCTCAGGGCTGCCATTGTGTGAGTGCAGGAATGGGGGCCCCCTGGTGGGCAACGTGTGTGGGGTACCGGCTTCCAAAAAGTAGCCAGTACCATCCATGGACATTGACCCCAAGGGAGTCTAAATAGGTTCCCCATCCCCACAGTTTCCCTCGAGAACGGTCAAAGAGCACACTGTCAAGAGCAAGTGAAGGCATGCGTGATCTTAGGCCCTGAAAATGGGGTGGTGGGATCTGTATTCCCTTCATGGTGGGAGCCTCTCCTTTTCCCATGAAGGCCGTTGGGGGGAGGCACCGCTTACACTTTTCCCTAAGACTGTAGTGCACAGGCAAGTGCAAATCCACACTCTACCCCTCCTCCCCACCCCTTTGACTGGGACATATACAGCCATATGCCACCCACTGACTGTCAAAACACCCTTTTAAAGCGGACCCAGCATTTTGTCAGCTGGCTGTCAGAGAAAAGGGGGTGGGAGACACTTTCTCAAGCAGCTGCAGTCTTGGGGGAAAGTGCAAACAGCGCATCACTCTGGGACTCTCATGCTGGTGGGGGTGCTGTGGGGGGGATTTCACCGTGAAGTGGGCATAAATCTCACTGAGATCACTTGTACCTTTCTTTTTCCTTGACAGCAGTTTTTGACAGCTGTCAAGAGAAGCCAAAGGTCATCGTAGCTACTGCACTGTGACACCTTCCCCCCAACCAAGGGTCTGTGGTCTTCCACTCATGCAATTGCAGTCCTGCCGTTATGCCAGTAATACTTCTATTAATACTATGTTCCATCCACTGACACTTGGGCATTTTGGAAGGGCTCTATTAACCTGGAGCCTGTGAAAGCTGTCAAACTGGATTTTGTACTTTCTGGTGTAAAAAAAGCTCCAGCAGGCCAAAATTGACTTGTTGTCACAGCAGGGGAGGAGAGGCAAGCTGGTTCTAGTGCAGGTTCCCCCAACAAACCTATGGGAAGGCAAGGCTGCCTGTGCAAAACCCACAGTGAGTCCAATCACCTGTCAAGTGCACCATGAGTTGTTTCCACCAGAAGCAACCCACCTTATCCCCATGGTGGGTTGTTGTGACTGGCACATGGGCTTCCAGGGCTGGTGAAGGAGAAGTCCTGTCTGTGTTAGATGGTCAGAAGACAGGTCCATTAAACACCATTGTGCCATTTCCGCTAACTGTCATGCAACCCAAGAGTGGTCCCCTGAGATGAGCAACCCAGGTACAGGCAGAGCGGAAGCATGACCAGTGTGCACGTTTTTCAGTCACAGCTCATCAACCAGCAGCTGAGATTATGAGTCCCTTGTACCTTCCCAAGAGAAGATGCTGGTGTCTGTTGGTTGCTTCTCTTAAAATTACATTTATTTTTAAACAAGTCCTTGCCATGATTTTACACAGAAAACTGGGAGAGGCGAGGGAGGGGAGATGCTGCCACTGCATTCCTTGAAACGTGGCCTTACAGGTGCATGCTGTGCGGGGTGGGCTGGAGAGAAGGACGGCAGGAGGCAGGCAGGTCAGGGACCACTGCAAAGGTCTGTGAGGTGCATGTTAAGGAGCAAGCCTGGAGGACCTGATGCAAGAGGAAACCAAGGGCAGCGGGGCTGCATGACAATGTTCAAAGCAAGCCACAACCTGGTCTTGGGAGAGCGGCCAAGGGAGCATGCAGCTGAGAGACCACAGGACTCCCATCCTGTTGTTTGCTGCGTAACGCATATCCTCAGTACAGGGCAGGGATTGAAGGGGAGACTCGGCAGCGGTGGAAGCTGGTGATGCCTCTGCCAGTGGGGCTCCTTATCCACTGCAGCTTTTATTAGGAACTTGATAGGAGCTATCCATGGTGCTCCACAATTGTGAACATATTCTGGGCTGGAGTTCAGCACCACAGACAGTTCCCATCAAGCCCAGAAGAGCAGCTGAAATGGATGAGGCACCCCAATGCCTCAGGAGGCACCACCTTAGCCGCCTGGAGGGGTGTTTAGCCCTTGGTTCCACCCTCAATATTCCCCTGTGCACGGACTTTCCAGGGGTCATTTTAATCCTGCTTCTCTTTCCTAGCCCTGCATCCACTCCTATTCTGGAACCAGGGGCTGAGAATGGAAGCAATAATTGTCCAGTGGAAAAGAGCTCTCCATGTTGACCTGCTTGCATTTTGAGCACTTCAGGGAAATGGCGGGGGCCATATTTCCATGTAGGCGGGCAGAAGGCGAAAGGAGCAGGCCCAAAGCCGCAAGGGTAAGGCCAGTTTCTCCCCAGTAGCAGCCTGTTGTAACTGAATGCTCTTACTGGCCCACAAGCCTTAGGAGGGGTGTGAGACTGGAGGGAAAGCTGCCCCAAAGTGGGGAAGCCACCAAATGAGCGCCAAGAGGGGGCAGGAGCCAGTGGCATGGCCGTCTGGGGCACCCTGGAGGATGCTGGGGGGTTGCGACCATTTCAGGCTGCAGGAATGGCTGGTGGATCCTCCCATGCAAACCTGCCCCTTTGACTAGTTCCTTCAAGAACAAAGAGATCGAGCCCGGAGTGCGGTGCGTGGCCTTTGCAAAGGAGAATTAGCCCGACAGAGTTCGCAGGGGAACCCGTGCGCGGAGGAGAGGAGAGCGCCTGCATTCCCACTCGTTCTCCCCTGCACACACCTAATTCCATTTTTATGGGCTCCCTTCAGTAAAACTGCAAGACTGGGAGCAATACCGCTGCAGGTGAAAACAAGCTGGTGGGAGACACTTGAAGGAGAAGATCTGCATGCAGGAAGGGTTGCCGAGCCCTTCCCGCGATTCTCAAAGAGGCCCTCCTTCCATATTTCCCCAGATCT